AGTGCCCACGATGAACGTTATCACACCAATACGTCCGTCTTCGTTTAAGGCGTCTTTTTCCGAAATTTTGCCATCCAGGACCATCGCAAAGTCTTCGCGAGATACACAGAACGTAAGAAAATAGACCTTTAAACTTCAACAATTGTCTACTTCGTTTTCCTTTGATGTCTTATCCAACCTGATTGAGAGACCCCATCGTCCTTACTATGGCCTCCGGTCCTGTCTCCTGGAATGCTTATGCCTAGAATGAGTATTGCTCTTGGCGTAAGAGTCCGCAGCCACCAGGCTGGCATCGGTGTTCAGCCTTTTTACCCCTACCTAAGTCTTTGCCTCCTCAATGATTTGGCCCCCGCACCTGTCGCGCTGGCTTACTCTGCGATATCTCGATAGGTTTCCCAAACAATGTTTTGTCATCTGATGGCTACCGGTCTTGTCCTCAGCCTTCTTAAGCATGGCAGATCCTCGTGCCCCGCTGTTGTTCTGATATCCCGTTGTTCTGGCCTCTCTTCTATGCGAACCCTCTTTCTTCCAGCCTCTTGTTATTCGATCGCTTCGATTTACTACTCATCATTTTGACATCCTGCGGAGTGTGATGGAGGATACTGCGCTCTTGATCGATCAGCGATCGTTGGTCTCCACCAAAGAGAGTGATGTTCACGAGCGCGATCTGGGACCTACGAAACCCACCGAAGGAGCCAAAATCGCTCTGAAGCGTGACTTTCCGTGGCTTGAGTTCATGTATCACACTGCAGTACTCGCCATAGTTGGTATCCTTCTGTGGATACACATCATCGGACTCTTTTGGAGGGATTTCAAGATCAAGAACCAGAAACGGCAGAACATGGAACTCCAGGCATTTCAGGTCGCGTCCAAGGCTCACGAGTTGCTGATGCTCGCATCACTATCCACGATTGTCTTTCACTACATGCGAAGACTGCTGGTCGGGCGAAACGGTATTCCCTTCGGACTAGTCAATGCACTTCATGTCACAGGCTCGCCCAGCATGCTGTTCAAGTGGTCATTCTGGGCGGGGTGGAGGCGTCACCTCCCATTCGGAGGCTTGTTGTTTCTCACCTGTATCTTTTCGCTGACTTTAGGACCGTCATCTGCGATCACGATGATTCCTTCGCTTGAGTGGTACGAGATGAAGAACGCTTTTCCAGCCAACGGCTCAACCGTCCTCTACAACGCAACTGCAGCCAAAATCTGGCCAACTGTCTTCAATAACTCAATGGACACAAACCAAACTGCTCGTTGCCTCCAAGATCCATTCAAGTCACCATTAAACCTATACTGCCCGTCGGCAGGGTTCATCGATATCTATAAATGGGTATTTATCTCCAGTTTTTCCGACATAATATGTATTCAATGCTGAAACTATTCAGTTTATCAGTTTCACGAAGACTGGATCACGCGATGACTTGCTCTTCACAGACCTACGTGCGAGCAGCGTTCAACGGAAGGTCTCCATCAAGACTGGCAATGACCCAGAGGGCGGCTGGGCCTACACCACCGTCGTCACAGAGCTGAGCTCGAGAACACTCGGTACATTTTATAACTATGCAACACACAACAATGCCGGCGGTACTAGAGACATGGCATATCCCCGATTGCGCATCGTAACGGACACTCCAATACACCAGCCCATCGTCTATGTGAAGTGTAGCCTCTCTATATGGACCCAAGTCCCGGATCGACTACGTGTCCCATTTCCGAACATCGATAGGTCACAGGCATGGGGGCAGGAGGCATTGCATCCCGAAGCTGAGACAAAATACGCCAGGCCTAACGATACCATCTTTGATCGGCTACCGAGTGAGAACGCGAGGTTCAAATGGTACAAAAGCAACAACGGGGATTTGCCATCATCGCTACTTGCGTTGGCAATCATCCCTGTCTCGGCCAAAAACTCTACAAAAGACAGATACCCATCCACTGCCACTGTGGCATGCTCAACTGATGCAAGGTGGGTCTCTAGCGATGCATATTACCAGCCCAAGAACTCGACCACTGTCTCGAGCAACGTTTCTGATGCACTCTCCGAGACCGAATGGAAACCCGAAAAAGCACTCCTCACCAAGTTGGGCATATCAGAAAACCCGCTCGACCTGAGGCTCGACTGGGCGCATTTTCTGAACCGAAAACAAAGCGAATGGCTAGCCGACAACTCTTCCTCCAGTATTAGTGGCATGGCCCGGTTCCTCAATACTGCCATCATCCGCCCTAAACAAGAAGAGAACAGAATTACGGCGTTCTATGCGCCTAATATGACTACCCCAGACACGGGCGGCGCATTCGAAGAGGCAATAGCGATGCTGGTGGGAACCGTGCTTGTAGACGGCATAGCGCGAAGCACCTCTAGATTATCCTCTTTCGTCAAAACTAACGCCACCGCTGACGTGGTAACAAGACTTGAAACCTTCCTTCCCTCAGGTGAAAGGCTTTTCAAGTGGAATCCAGACAGCTACGTTCCCGGTTTCTATTCAGTTCGCATCACACTCGATTCTTACGGATACGGATACGGACTCCAGAACACAGCCGTCTGGGCAGCCATGATTGTCCTGCTGCTCTTTGCGCTGATGTTGATTGTGCACATAGCATTTGTAGGCTATTCTGTCGCTAGGGGACGGTACTACGGTGGCGAGTGCTGGGAGGACGTAGCGGAGCTTATCGCGTTGGCCATGAATTCGGCGCCGAGCGAGAAGTTGTACGGCACGAGTGCGGGTGTGGAGCGCGTCGATACATGGAGGAGTTTGGTCAGGATCCAGGAGACAGGCGACCAACACCTGGAATTGTGTGTCGTGGATGGACAGCAGGAGGATGGAGAGACGGCTAAGATCGGGAAGAAGTATTTGTAACCAGAGTGTTTGCTCGTATTTAGGTCGACACGACAACGTAGCTGAGACCTAGATGCACTAGCCATTGACAGTGGTATATTCTGGGTTTGTTTAATTGGATGTATCGTCGCGAAGTAGTTTAGAGATCAAGGGTTTGCAGCCACAATCGGAGACGCGACACGAAATAGTAATTGAATGGTTTGGGCGGAGTTCCTTTCTGGTACTCCGACGTGAAGTTTTCATAAGTAGAAAGTTCTTATTTATATTGAGGATATGAGCGTCAGTGGATATAGCTCCAACCTTTTATCGGCAAGATGAGGAGATCGAGCGTCTGGGTCTGCTGGTATGGATGGTGATCGCAGAGTCCCACTTCCAATATCACGGTGCAGCACCGGGATAGCCGATATGTTGATCCTGACGGCTCGCTGCGATAGTTATTTTTGACACCAACGAAAAGACGTATTGTCTGAGTAAGGAAAATGTGGCGACCGTCGGCACTTACAGCAAGTTCTTGCGAATGCGAAGTTGCTTGACTCAAGTAGTAGGCGTGTCAACGCATGGGGCCGCTTCCCCGAACTTGCGGGTTCAGGCCGCCAGCGAGGCTGATCGGCCAGCGGCCCCCATGGCCATGAGGCAGCCTGGCGACCTGTCTTTGGGTTTGAAATTTGCGGCTGAGTTCAGTGCGACAGAGCTTGTACCAGTTGGTGTTTCTAAACATTGAGGAGAGAAGAAAGGCGATGTTGATGAGATGTCGGTAAAGAGCTGCAGAGCCGCAGAGCCGCGCAGGATGCGGGCACCCGCAGACACCCCGCTTAAACTGCCTAAGGCCTCTGCAGAATCATCCAGCGCGTAACTCATCGTTTGGAAACACATGGTGCACGGTGATATGGACTATGGGAGCACTTGTAAGTTCGACCGGTGAGAGCGTCGTGCTCGTGGTTCTACCTAGGAGGCAAATGATGACATGCCGCCTCGCCACTCCACGCTTATTGTGCCGCAACATAGGCATACGCCTCATGCTCCTTACATTTCAGCAACCCCAACTCCTTCAACCACTCAAAAAGGATCGCGATGCCGGTTCTCAAGCTTGTGCCACGTTCCACGTCTGTTGCACTGCCCTACGCGCCGAGGCATGGTTGGTCCAGAGCGGCGTGATTGGATTCCCGACCCATAATCCTGTAGCCGCCGAAGGCACCTCTTGCATGGTTTCATAGCCAGGCTGGTGCGGCGATCATGCAGCCTTCACGACTGCGCCGCAATATTTGCTCCGACATGTACTGCATATGCCCGAAACTTGTACTCTGGGACAGAGTACTAACTCCCACATCCTCTCACGTTCTGCGTGTGTGCGAAACGTCAAGTGACTCCCTCAACCATGGCGACACCCACACCATCCCCCACATCGAAACATTTCAACCTAACGACCACTCAAGAGGAGAATGCAATCGAAACGGACCTGGCCCTTCCTGGCATCAAGCGTGGTATTGCCATTGGAGTAGCGTGTTCCGTATCGATTGTCGTTATCGCCATTCTTGCTTTCTTTGCGATCAGACGAAGGAACCGTGTGCTGGCTCGGAGAGCACAGCTCCAGACCACGAAGAGAAAGTCGATGGATGCCGAAGCAGGACCACAGGAGAAAGCTTGGTATTCTACACCCGCGTCATCACCACCGCTGCCAACACCACCACCGCTGCTTGTTGAAGCCGATGCTCGGATTATCTACGAACTGGATGCAGGCCAGATACCAGAACTGCACGGCGATACTGCTGCGCAAGAAGTAGAGGGAAATAGCAACATTCACGCCACGTCAGAAGCGGAAGAACTGTACGTTCGGAAGCTTGAGCAATGGAGGACTTGGAGCATGGCACTGGAGCCGGATACAGGGACTCATACCACCGAACCCGTGCGTGCTCCCGTACCGCTACTCATGGTTTCACCACCTGAGGCTTCTCCTGGTGGAGTCTCGCCTTTGCAGCGCTTGTCGAGGGACTACACCCCGCAGGACGGCTCGCCAGTATCACCGCCTCCAAATGTCCATTTTCCATCGGGTCATCGCGAGTACACCAACCATTGAGAGAGAGAAAATTCCAAGGTTGGCTTCCCCGCTAGGAGAGCGCGAAAAATATATTCTGATTCGTAACGACATAAGATGCTAGCGGACCGTCAACACGACGCTTTCTTATCCTCGATACTCTTCGAATCGACGTGGTACTGGTCGTCTTCGTCATCGATTGGCGAGTCCGGGAAGAGCCGCTCCCCAGTGCCTTTCTTTTCGTCGTTTGGAAGGACTTCGGAACCTGGTAATTCTGCAGCAAAGAGTCGACGGTCACCAACGGCCTCCACGGGAACAACAGGACTGGCGAGTTCAGAAGCGCTCTTCTCGCTATTACACCCAGCCTCCATCTCCGCTGGCCCGAGGGCTCCACATTCGCTCCCCTTTGTCGCATTCTCCAAGTCGTACGAACTTTGTGACAGGGTGCTCTTCCGGCGTATTCCAGCTCGCCTTCGACGCACGCAAAACCAGCCGCCTAGTAGAAGTAGTATGACAGCAACGGCGACTGCTGCGCCGATACCAGCGCTCGCGCCAACGCCCAGACCGCCATTTCCGGATTCTAGAACTGCGGGCGCTGAAGCAGAGGCTTGCGTCGAGGTTGAAGAAGGAAGAGAGGTTTGTGAAGATTGTGATGCATCGGCCGGTGATGGTCTCCCAGGAGGACCCGGTGTTGGCGGCGTTGGAGTTGGAGCAGGTGCAGTTGAGCTCACGTCGTCATCGTCATCATCGTCCCTGTCCTTGCGGTCTTTCTCTGTCTCAGTCGGGAGCGGCACAGTCGGATCTGTGGATGTCGACATGGCGGATATCACGATGGTAAACGTATAGTAAGAAGACTGCCAGAGCGCACGGCGACAGTTGTACAATAATGTGAGCTTCTAGTGACCAATTTTGAGATAATCTCCAAAATAATTTGCACTTGCTACACCCCACTTACATATGAACATCAATGTCCCAGGACAATGGGCATCGACGACGACACCTCATCCATGTTTTCGCGTTCAAGCATCGGCAGAGTCGCGGCACCCATCGCTCATTCGCAGACGGTCCTAATAGCGCGTCGATTCCGCCGGCTCAGCCTCGTCTCCTCACGAAAACTTCGGTCAATTGTCATCTTGGCCTTACCTGCTACAGGCCTGACTTTTCCGTGCCTTGATGTTGGGTCTCGATAGGCCAATGACTTTGATGCTCCCATGTAAGATGGGAGACGCGTCCATCGGGGCTCCGCTGTGCTGTCGAGTTCGCCAAGCTGCGGAGGCCATCGCCGCGTAGTCATCAACTACCGATCCATTCGACCAAAGTTTGGAATTGTCTTGCCCTTAGAATGAATATCATTTCTGCGTGGCGACTTTTGTGTAGTGGTGTGCTTCGGGCTGCGCACAGTAGGTATGTATGTATGCAGGAGCTCCTGAGAACTAAGGAAAATTCACGGGCCAGCCGCTACATCATGCAGGGCTAATGACATTGACCCAGGAACTGGAATTGTCGATGCTGGGCCTAAGTCGAAAGTTTTGCCATTCATGGACAAGCCGCTGCACAACACGTGGGGTCTCAGGCATCGCTAGGTATGATCACGCCGATTAGGTTCACGATATTGGGTTCATGGAAATGCGCGCAAATTGCCATGAGATGTATGACACCTATCTCTTTAGAGGAAAAACAGCGACCTGACGGCGAGGAGATGGTTCGAGTCAGTGCTGCGAAGCGTGTGCGATCCACATGTCGGCGCCATCGGAAGCGAGTCCGTCCCGTCCGCGGTGTCCCCTCCAGCCTCCCCGCCCCATCGCGTTGCACGCCGTTCAACGTGCCTCGACGCCGTCGCTCGCTCTATGCAAATGCTCCTCCTCTCAACCGATCATACAAACCGAATGCTGCCCAAGCAAGAAAATCAGCGAAATCTTTGACGCCGCGCGTCTGACTGGACTCTGGACCGGGCTACAGACTGCAGCTCTCGCAATCGCTTTGCGGGACGCATCTACTGTGAGATTTTACGGTACACCCAAAGTTTTGAGTACATTAGCACGTGGTCTATGTACAGGGACAGATGCCTCGGGATGCTGCTGATTCGCTATTGCTGTCTGAGTAAGCAGGGGCCATGGAAAGTATCACTACCACCGTAGTGCCCGCGGAACAAAGCCGGTCGAGAACTCCTAGGGGGAAGAAACTAGATCGACATGAATTATACTTTCAGCCATCCCCAAGGCAGTCATCATTACCGCATAGGATATTGTGCCATCTCGAGAGCACGGTGGACTAAGATCGATCTTTGGCGGTGCGCCCATACACTTGCATCAGCTTCTTCCGCGGGATGAATGCCACAGGGTCTCTTCCGTGGCCTACAAGCATGCTATCAATCTGATAGACTCTGGTGCGGCTCCTCTGGATGGTCGATCAGCTAGATTGGTGCCTGCGCCTGCCCTTGCAGGTGATGGGGACGAAGAGGCCGTCAGCTAGCGCAGAGCGGCACACCCGCACTTCTTCAATAGCGCGACATTTGAATGGGGAATCCCTTCGATAATCGTCTGAGTAATTGCATGTTGAAGAGGTGATCTGGCGACACAGAACCATACAATGGCAGAGGTTGGCAGAGAACCATGATACGTCGACGGCGCGCCTGGAACCAAACACCAGAGATCCAAAGGTCTGGAAGGAATGTTGTTTTTCGTTCCGGATTGCATGTTCTGGCATTAAGAGCTAGCTTCGCACGTCAGTTAGGGTTACCGGTCTGATGGAAGAGTCTAATACTACCGCCCAAAGTCCTGACGAAAGACGCCACACAACGGCTGACCGAGAGATAATAAGGGGATCCACCGGGTCTATTGCGCATTCATCGTGCATATCCCACAGGCCACTCGCCCCCGTAAGACTACGCCGGTTGCGGCCCGACCTCTACGTGGATTCATATGCCTTCGGGCTCCTCTACACAGATTGTTGCGGATCTTACCTTCATTTCACATTGAAACCACTGAGACCTTGCATTATGGCAAGCCAGAACTCCAACCCCAACGCAGACCCTGTCTTCTTCGGTGGCATAGAAGTCGACATCACCCAATTCGATTTCAGCGACCATACTTCGAAGGTCAACAGTCTTACGATAACATGCGCAGTCTTCATCGCTCTGGTGGTGTTGACTGTCGGTCTCCGCCTCTTCGCAAGAGCGAAATACGTCGGCCATATCTTCATAGACGATTGTACGGGCCAACCTATTCCCTCACAAAGGTCCCAGCTGATATATGACAGTCCTTATCATTTGCGCGGCCATCTTCACTGTTGCTCTGGCTGCAGTGTGTATCGCTGGTAAGCAGCAAGTATTTCGAGTGTGGAATCCAGCTAACGATATGTTAGCGACCCAATATGGCCTCGGGCGACACATTTGGCTCCTACCCATGTTGACACTCTTCGACACTTTGAAGGACTGTATATTGGTAGGTGCCAAGCTTTCATTGGGTGTCGTATTATGGATATGGCGATCGTCATGAATGTTGAAAATGGGCTTATTGAGCTGTCACAACTAACGCGCTATAGTATCTCTTCATCTGCCAAATCCTATACGCCTTTGCTATTGCGTTGACGAAGATCGCCATCATATCGTCGTACCTGCGTTTCATCCACGACAAGACCTTCCGCATCTGGATGTACGCGATATCTGTGTGCATCGTCGGTCTATGGATTTCGGGTAAGACAAGCCACAGTTACCGACACGTGACATGTGCTGAAGTACTGTTAGGAATCTTCGTCACCATCTTCCAATGCCGTCCGGTCCAAGGAGCGTGGGACTTCACCCTCGAACCAGTGTGCGTCGACTACGTCACCTATCTATACGCCAGCTCCGCCGTTAATGTCGCGACGGATCTCCTCCTTTGCGCGTTACCTATACCTCATATTTGGAGGCTGAACATGCCAAAAAGGCAACGAATCGTTCTCTGTGTGCTACTGGCAGGAGGTGCAAGGTATGTGTAGACGGCAGGTCATCGAACTTCGCTGACGTTTGATAGCGCAAGCATATTGGGCATTGTCCGTATTGCCTTCTTGGATCGTTTACGCGTCCTGGATGTTACCTGTAAGTATTCCTTCGGTTTGAGGATCATGATGGAGGGTGTCTTTGGATGCAGTAAGCAGAGCACGAACTGCTATACCTGCCACCAACAGAAATTGCATTGATGTCGGCTATTCCACTCGAACATGAGAGCTAACAAATATACAGATCAGAGTGTCGAGTGCGTAATTATGTCGGTAGGCGAGTGCAGTCTGGGAATCATCTCCGTCAGCATCGCTGCTCTTCGTCCAATGGCACGGCAGTTCTTCCCCAACGCGATGCGAAACTCTCCCTCTTCCTCGTCCAAGCCACGCGAAGCAGGACACGTTCGCCTCGAACACATACCCTCAAGCCAGGACAAGGATCAGTTCACATCGGACAGCAAACATGATCTGTCAGGTTCATACGGATCGCATACACAAGTCTCTTGCTAGTCATCTATGTATAATCTAGACAACGTTTACAAACCTCCGTACGGCTTCCCATCTCGCATACCGTCTTCAAATGCTGCAATGTCGATTCATACTGTCGGGATACTATGAATGGCTGAGTGGTGACTTCGCAAGTCTTTTGCGAACATAGCACAGGCAACGTGAGCTTCATTTGGCACAAAGAGTCCAGCGAAGCTTATGTTACCAGTACTACATTTGAATCCTTGGCTGCGTTCCTGACCTAGAAGAGAAACAGGAATGACGAAAGTCCTTGGAGGTTGTCAAGCTCTCGAGACAGGCGACCAAGAGCGGGACGGAACGCCTTGTTCAGCTGACCGCCAAGAAAGCCAAGCCGTCAGCCCAATCTCGCGCTTTTCCATGGCTGGCTAAACAACGATTGTTATTGGTCCAACACCCTCACGACGTCACAGACCATTACCAGAATCGCGTCAAGCTGAAAGCAGGCTGTGTTGGCGATCTTACTCTGCGCGCGCAGGCTGTGTACAGCGTTAAGGCGTCCACGGCGTAATTCATGAAGCACACCGCTTGTGGCCTGAATACATAAATGCGATGAGTCGCGCTTCCTTTCCATGTGCATACAACTCATCAAATCTGCCTTAAGGTTACACCAAAGACTCATTGCGGCGACTCATACATCAACCACTCACCCTTAATATACTCATCAGTCTATAAAACCCTACCTCGAGTTCATTACCCCCTTTACAACTTTCCATCTTCAAACACAAACTTGCAAATCTACCTCAAACATTACCACCATGAAGTTCACAGCGGCAACTGCTCTTCTCCTCGCGACTGTCGCGCTCGCCAGCCCAGCACCCGTCGCCAACCCAGACGCGGTAGCTGAACCAGCGCTGATCGGATCTCGCGCCCAATTCCGCGAAGCGCTTGCTGCACGCGACACCCTAGTTATGCCAGAAGTTCAACTCGAAGAACGAGCCAGCAGCAGCGGCGGCAAAGGAGGAGGCAAGGGTGGAAAGGGCACTGGTGGAAAAAACACCACCGAAAGCGCGGCGTCCGACATGCTTTCACCAAGTCGCGCTCTGCAGATCACTGCACTGGGTCTGGGCGTTGTGGAGGTTGTGAGACTCTGGGGTTAGACGACGCGAGCGAGATGGGGCTATACGGGTTGAGAGCAAGGTGGCTATCATTGTATTTGGAGGAGAGAGGCGGAGTTTGATGTGGTCACGACACTTTACCGAGCGATGGAGTCATGTTTGCATGTTATTGTATGATTTAGGAGTTCGATACCACGGCATTCGGAAATCAATATGGAGTTCACAACACCACAATCTTCTGCTTGCAGGCTAAGCTTAAGGCGCCCGCTACGTCACCCCGCATGTGTGCCACAGCGATCAAGTTTCCATATCTGACACGACAAGTCCATGTACTGGGCTACAAGGACTGATGACGATGGTATTGACCCGGATCAGTGAACTCAGTGTGTGTTGTACACCGAGTGATTCATTCCATCGTTAAGATGATCATCTCAGTAAACAAGCATAGCCACAGTGTGGCGGTGTTGATTAGAAGACAGACTGGATATGGCTGAGACGATCAGTGCACAGCCACAAAGAGCTGAGAGATCAGCAGATATAACAAGCTCGAACGAGTTCACCATATGCAGATCAAAGAATTTGAAGCATGAAGAGTAAACATTAACACTGGTATCTGCCGCGGCCTAAACGCTAGAAATGAAAAACGCCGTGCAAATGCTATGCCCCAAACGCTACGCTATGCTATCGGATCGAATAGAATCCAAAACACTTTTTGTTGCCATGAAGCAATGTTTACAAGAACTTGTTGATCATCTTCTTCCAGCCACTGGCGGAAGATTCTTCCCAGGTCTCGCTAACTTCGTCCTCGAACTTTCCACTCAGGAGATCGGCTTCCGCGGGGTTGATGAACTTGCTCCTGGTAATGAGCTTGTGTCCAATGTACAGTACGGCGAACAGGATCAAACTGATGTATGCGATAAAGAAGTCTTCAACGCTCCATGGGACGAAGGCGGTGAAACCTTGGGTGATGGTGATGATGGCGCAGAAAGTGACACCGTAGATAGCGAGTGGGCGGCCACCCCATGACTTGAATGGAAGAGTGTCACGGTCGATGTTCTGAGCCTTGAGTGCGCGCATGAAGCTGATGTGGCAGATCAAGACACAAGTCCAGGCGATGAAACCTGCGACGGAGACGATGTTGAGGAGCCAGTTGAAAGCTTCTCCACCGTTGGCGCTAAGGTTCATGTAGGCAAGCAGACCCATGGCGCCGGTGACTGCGGTCGCCCAGTATGGGACACCTCGCTTGGTGGTAGCCTTGAGGAACGCAGGGGCACACTTCTCCTCCGCAAGACCGACAAGGATACGGCTGCCTGAGTAGACGTTGGAGCTGGCGGCCGAGAGAACGACGGTAAGCAGGATGGCGTTGAAGATATCGGGAAGAGCGGAGACTCCTGCGAGCTGGAAAGCAATAACCATAGGAGATGAACCGGCGTTGGTGTCACCAATTTGAAGAGCTTCGTTGTCGTAGGGGACCAGAATGCCAACGAAGAAGATGGTGAAGACGAAAAGGGTGAAAATGCTCCAGAAGGTCTTTCGGATAGCCGAAGGCATAGTAACACGGGGGTTCGCGGACTCTCCAGCACCAATAGCGCAGAGCTCAGTACCCTGGTATGCGAAACCAGCCTGGATGAGGACAGCCCAGAAACCGACGAACTTGGCAACAGGGCCCTCGGCAAGGTATGGAGCGAAAGCACCGGGAGAGTTCCAGTACTGGAAGCCAATGTAGCCTTGTGCGCCGACACCAGCGTTCATGCAGATGGCGTAAATCCAGAAACCGACAAGGGCAACGACCTTGATGAGAGCAAACCAGAACTCGAATTCACCGAAAATGTCCACGGGCAAGAAGTTGACGGCGGTGATCGGCACCCAGAAAATGGTGATGAAGATGCCGATGCTGAGATCTGAGTCCCACCATTGGATGATAAGTCCAGCGGCTGTGAGTTCGAGTGCGTAGGTGATGGACCACGAAAACCAGTAAATCCAGCCCATGGAGAATCCTAGCGAGGGGTCGACGAAGCGGGCAGCGTATTGTGTGAATGCACCAGAAATGGGGAGGTAGGTAGCCATCTCAGCCAAACTGAGCATGACGGAGTAGACCAGAGTACCGACGAAAACGTAAGCCAGGAGCGCGCCAGCAGGTCCAGCAGTAGCGATGGAACCTCCGCTAGCAATGAAGACTCCGGTTCCTACAGTACCGCCGATGGCGACGAACTGCAAGTGTCGGGATGAAAGCTTGCGCTGAAGCTCATCCTTGGGGGGTGCGGCCTGCTTCTCGACGTCGCTCGAAGAGTGCGGGACCGACTTGTCCGACCGCTGGTCCATCTTAGGCGTGATCTCCTCAGAGGCGGATGCCATATTGGTGGTGGTATTGGCGAGGGACCCTGGGGTGGGGCCTGAGGTTCAAAGTAAGAACAACAACGACGAAGCTGTGATGTATACGATAGATGTCAAGTGCGCAAGAGCCAGGGACGAAAACGATATTTCAATCAAACCACGGTTACCCACCACTCCAGAAAGTGGAGTCATGGCGCAAGACTCCATGAGCCATCATGTTAGCCGTCGGCGTACTCCACGCTCTGGAAAGCCAGTCGACCGTCCAAATTTTCATCGTCGGTCCACTTGGCGGGCAACAGAGTCGTTTTGCCGCGCAAGATGCAGAAGTTGAACCGTGACAGTAGCATGATCGAAATTTTCGAGCCAGGATCACGTCGGCTACGAGCGGGTCGGCGCCGCCAGTTCGCGTCGCCTTGAGCGCGACAGGCCAAGCGCCAATGCTTATCGCGGGATTACCGTGTGGAATGTGTAGCTTTGCCGTTCCGTATGTTCCCAGCAGAAAAATTCTGCAGCTTAGCAGTATCTTTTTTGGGGTACTTTGTGGCGGCGGACGCGTTTCGGGAATAGCGAGAGGGCCGGCCCTTCATCGGGTCACGGCCTTGGCGCTGGCCGTGTCAGACTTCATCCATCGGGAAACCTCATCAGGCCTATCATGACTCCGTCGCATGTCACCGCATTCAGCTCACCCCTTTCCCCAGCCGGTGGTTGTAGAGATCTGCTTTGGTCATGCTGAGTCAAATGCCGCAGACTTTTATTTGCATGGCTTGAAGGCGCATCACGCTCTACTTAGGTAGTGTTGTTACCAGATTCGCGCGACTATCACATCGTGAGAGCCCAGTTCCTGCACATCTTATGCGACCAGTGGAAGCAACCAGCCAGCATAGCAAGCCATCGATACCGCCTATACGTCCAGGACGCATACAAAAATCCGATGGAGTCTACCATCTCACACGGCTAAGAGGTTTCAACATCAGGCGCGTTCACAACTAGCTTTCTCACCGCAGCATCATCGTCGACGTCGAAAGCAACACGTACTATTAGTCACGTACCGAACGTGGCATAAAACTAGACCCCAGGTTCTTCAGCCTTATGCACTTCAGTACGAGCCCAAGTGTGGTGCTACCGTTGCGCTGAGACATGGGAGCCGGGACCCAGCCGAGCGCTCGCCGGACTGTCCTGGCAGAATCCGGGGACGTGTCTGACTTTTCATGTGATCTGGGGAAGATTCGCCTTGTTGCTGGACTAGAATTCTTGGCCTTGAGCCGAGACCCTCGTCTCGTTGCCACTGTGTCTTTTCACCACCGCATCGTCGTATATGATTGGACATACATCAAGTGTAAATTACATGGATATCTCGGTACATATCGACTAGTCTTACTCCTGATGAAGCAGCCCGATTTGTGGATCGATTCGCTTACACGTCTAGAAGTGGAGAAATTGGGACAGGTACACTACTATTACTACACTGCGGCGCTCAAGCACGATGTTCGTTTCACCTCGACAACGAAGCGCTGTGGGCTCCTCAAGACTCCCAACTGACTCATTCACTCGTCATCGTCGTAGTCCATCTCTTCGTCTTCGTCCTCATCCTCGTCGTCATATCGGTCTTCTTCATCACCCTCATCACCATCCATCCCACTCGTGTTCTTCAACTCATCCAAGTCCCACACACTATCCGGCAACCCCGTAACCCCCACATCTCTCTTCACAGTGATGATCCCGAACTCCTCGACGCCGCAGAAGCCTCCCCTCTGACTCTTGCCAAAGAACCCCACAATAATCTCATCAGGGCTGGGTGTCAGCCTCACAACGTCCGAGTCACGCCTCGCGTTGAGCTCGCCGGCACTGGTGCCGTCGCTGAGATGTAGCCTTACACCATCCCTAGGGACGACTTCGACGGAACTAATCTCCACCCCCTCGGGAAGACGTATCTTCTCGGAAGCGTGACCGCCGAACTGGTGCTTGCGGCCGTATGTACGCATGGGTCCCCAGTGGCTCGTGTGGCCATCTGCATACTTCACCACGCCGCCATCCCATAAACATCCGACCCTTAGATCGATGGAAACGGCGCGGTGCAGGTTTCCATCCTTGCCCTTCTCGTGGAGAAGCTGCGCCCATTCGTACCTACGAGTATCGGACTCATCGGGGAAGGCCAGGCGCTTTGCAAGTCGGATCTCGGAGCCTGGGATACGGATGTATGATCTGCTGGCGAGGAGTTTCCAAACGTTGCCGATATTGGTCTCCTTTCCATTGTAGGCGAGGATGTTGAGATGGAGGGCCTGGGATCGATCGAAACGATCTTCGAGAGAGGATTCCGTATACTCAATGCGCTTCGGTGCGTTGCGAGTCCAGCCGAGGGGCTGGGATGTCTCTGCACGGTTGAAAGTAAAGCGTACGATGCCGCTGCTTGAGCTGATGACGAGCTTTGTCGGACCTTCGTCGTCGGTGTGCTCAGCGTAGGCCTCGGGCGAAGCATGTCGTTCTTCGTCGCTGATTGTAGGGTCTACCGGTAGACGGAAGTGAGGCAGCATGCGGAACGAGAGCGCATCAGCTAGGTTCCAACGGGCATTGTTAGGTGTGTTATGAGGATCCACGAGCACACCTTCTGATTTGAGGTGACCAGAGTATGCGGTCTTAGGGAGGAAGTTCTTGGGCCAGTCTTGCGCATATCCACGTTCCATGATGCCAGAGCGGTGAGGCGAGCCGAA